TGGATCTGATAAAGGGACTGTGGTACCTGGATCTGGATCCGTAGAAGGAATTGGGTCTGGCTTGGACTGCTGATGACCGAAATCAACCTGCCTCCACCGCTTTTGATAGACTCTCAAATCCTGACACCTTTGACAACCCTCCCCGTTACATCCCTCATCACTCAATGGAACAGGTAAAGGAACTTTTGATGAGTTAACCCCACTCTCACTAACCCCACTCTCACTACTCTCCCCTTGAGGAGAAACCCTAGGGTAATAGGGTACCTCCTCAAAGAAAGTAACATCCGTCGAGACAAATCTCCTCCCAGAAGTAGGTTCATAGCAGCAATAACCCTTTTGAGTTTGTGCATAACYGAGAAAAATGCATTTGGAGGCCTTAGGATCAAATTTGGAACGATGAGGTCCAAGAATCTGAACAAAGCAAGTGCAACCAAAGGTTTTAATGGGAACAGTAAATAATTCTTTATCGGGGTATAGAAGGGTAAAGGGAGGCTTCATGTCCAGAACCCGTGAAGTAACTCGATTAATGAGATACACTGCTGTAAGAATAGCATCGCCCCAGAAATGAATAGGCACATTGGAGTTAAACATAATTTATTAACATAAGAATAAAATTGGAAAGTACGTATAAATTTATAAATTAAAAATAAATTATTAAGAATTAAAATAATAATAAAAATAGTAATAAAGTCTATGAAGCAATTAAAAGATATTTAGTGATTAGCAAATTAATATCTTAAAAACTATTAAAATATTTAAATAATTAGTAAAGATTAAAATAATTAATAATTAGTTTTAAATCAGTTGTAACGATGTTCTATTTTACGTTAGTTGCAAAGGTAGAGAATGGGGCGGAGACGACGATGGTGGTTGGGAGTGGAGAAGAGAGAGAGAGATAGGGAGGGAGGGAGGGAGTCTTGAACTCGCATGAGGAGTATTTATCATTCCACTGATCACCTTTTCTCTTACAAAGTGGCATTCAACTTCAATATGCTTTGTTCTCTCGTGAAAGACTAGGTTAGAAGAAGAAATGTTGACTGCAACTTGGTTATCACAATACAACTTCATAGGTCTGTTAACTGAGAATCCCATCTCCTGCGAAAGATTTTTCAGCCACACTAATTCACATGTATTATGAGCCATGACCCTATATCCAGCTTTAGCACTGCTTCTAGCTACCACAATTTGTTTCTTGCTCTTCCAAGTCATCGGGTTGCCACCAAGGAAGGTACAATACCTTGTAGTGGATCCTCTTGTCAGATAGATCCAGGCGAATCAGCATTTGTGTACCCCTCTATCTCTAAGAGTTCCTCCACTCTTGTATAGTAGTCCATGGCCTGGAGCTCCCTTCAAGTACTTAACATGTATGTGGTGTGTCATCTAGACAACAAAGCATGTTAGGATGTAACTCTTTTTACTTTTAATAAATTTTTTTCTTGATTCTTCAAAAAAAAAGCATTCCCGGAATCTCTCATGGGGTGCCCAGAATCAATCTAGGGTATGGGAATCACTCACCATAATTAGCATAAGCTCATGAAAACTCACTAAAACTTTATTGATCTTTGTGTAAAACATCTATACATATTTATAGGCTCTAAATTCATAATTCAAGGTGTCTAGGTGATTCTGGGCAACACTGGGGCGCCTAATTGCCTAGGTGATAGGAATTTTAAAATATAAAGAACCAACTTTTGGTTAGTTCCCTAGTTCTCCTTTTGGTTGCAGGTGGAACCCTCCTGCCAGTTTGGAAAGGTTGCTTAGCCCTTCTGTTTTTAGGAGCATGGAAAGAAGGAGGATTCTGTGGAGATGTACAAGGGCAACAATTATTTGGATAGTGTGGGAAGAAAGAAACTCAAAAATTTTTGGGGGAGGCAAAGGAGTAAGGTGACAGTGATAGAATTTAACTATGAGAGCTGCAGATTGGGTAAAGACCTTGAAACTCTTTTCGGACTTCGAGGTGGAGGATATCTTCAGGAGCTGGGGGGCGAGAGCAAGCTCTTCCTCTATGAAACAAAAAGCTCCTAGAGGTCTGGTCACCCCTAGTGGGTGGGTGGATGAAACTGAATTTCGATGAAGTAGTGTGGACATTCTAGGCCCCTCAGGAATTGGAGGGGTGATTAGAGACAAGGGTTGTTTTATTTTGTGCCTTGTTCTTAGGCCCAATTGAACTAGGTGATTTGGTAAGAGCAGAATTTTTAGCTGTAATTTTTGGGGTTGAGAAAGCTAAAGAGATGGGAATTGGTAGTTTGATCATTGAAGGTGATTCAAAGATGACAGTGGGATGGCTGAAAAAAGGTGAGGAGGTTGTTTGGCAGCTCATAAAGGTTTTCAGACACTTAAAATGGTTGTCTAGAGACATGAATGTTCAAAGAAAATGGCTGATGGTTTAGCTAAAGCAGGAGTCCAATAACAACATATGTATTGGGCACAATTGTAATACAGTATTGGGTGGCTGTTTATGTAATGGTTTTTCTCTTTCTCACAACTTGTTGCAATCCATTTCTTTTTAAATTTAAGGCCCGTTTGGAATGGGACATTCTGATTCCAACAGTTAGGTTGGATGGAATCGGAATCCCATTCCCCTATTTGCGGGAATGGCCATTCCCTCCCCCTCCCTTGGGAATGAAATATTGAAATCCCATTTCAGCTGATTCCAATTCCCATTCCGATTCCTGTCTGAACCAAACAGACTGGGAATAGACCATTCCAATTCTGATTCGAATGGATTTCGATTCCAATTCCAACTGTGAACCAAACAGACCCTTAATGAATGAATATTTTCTTATGTCGCTGATAAAAAAACTGGCAAATCATCATATCTAAAAGATAAAAATCTTTTAAATATATAAATTTCATTATTGTTCAAAAATAATACTATAATAAGTATTTTTTAGAGCAATTTGGCCCGTTTGGTTTCCTGAATAGGTGCATTGAATTGGAATCGGAATAGCCCATTCTGATTCTAACTGTTTGTTTGGCAGGAATGTTTTTTCGATTCCCAATCTTGGGGAATGGGATTCCCCCATATGGGGGAATGGGATTCCCCCATATGGGGGAATGGCAATTCTAAGCCCCCATCCCATTCTAGAGTCTGTCAAAAAGTAAAGAACTCATGACCAAAACCCCAAACCCTAATATTAATAAAATAATAAAATATTTTTAATTTATAATAAGATAATAATAAAAAGTAATAACATATTAGTAATAGCATAAAAAATAGTAGAATAAAGTATTAACAAAAATATTGTAAAATAGTAATAAATTAATAGTACTATAATATAATGTTAACAAATTGAAAATAATAAAGTATAAATAAAATATAATTAAAGTAATAATAAAATAATAATACAATATTAATGAACAATTCATGAAATAATAATAACACATTAGTAATTAGATAATAAAATATTATGAACGTAATAGTACAATAATAAAAATATATTAATAAAATAAATTAATAATAAAAAACAAATATATTATTTATTAAATATTCATTATAATAATTATGTACAAATAAAATATTAATATAATATAATTAAAGTAATAATAAAATACTAACTTATTAATTATTAAATAATAATAAATTAGTTTTAAAGTAATAAATAAAAATAAAAGAATACTATTAAAATAATAAGAAAAAATAATAAAATAATAATATATTAATTAAATATTCATAAGTCAATGATAGTACTAAGATATTAGTTAAATTAATAATGATAACAACAAAGTAATAATGAAAACAAAGTTATTCTTTATTAAATAATAGTAATTAAATATAAATGAAATATTTGTATAATATAATTAAAGTAATAATAATATACTAACATATTAATTATTAAATACTAATAAATTAATTTTAATATAATAAACAAAAATAATAATAAAATAATAAATTATTAATAAAATATAATAATAGAGATATTACTAGTAATAGTAAAACGATAAAATATTAATAAAATATTCATAAATTAATTAAATACTAAAATATTATTTATTAAGTACTAATAAGATACTAATTTTTTTTTTGATGAATTACTAATAAGATAATAATAACAAAGTACTAATACAATAATAGTTATATATTCATAAATTATTAGTAAAGTAATAGTAACATAATAAATAGACTAATGCAAAATTGAAAAATTTCAGTTGATTCCAATTCCAACTCCAAATGTACCTAACAACAACAATTGGAATCCGATTCCGATTCTGGACTGAACCAAATAGTCGTTGGGAATAGGGGATTCCGATTCTTTGAGATTCTATTGTTCCGATTCCGATCCTGTCTGCAAACCAAACGGAGTCTTGTTATCAATTAGTAGCTAAAGAAGGCTAATAAGTGTATATAAAAATATTCAAGATGGAAAGTTGATATAAGTCAAGGTGTTTGGGTGAGGTGCCCACTCAAAATGAACTACCATTACCTACCTTATTTCAATTTAAAAAAGAGTCAATAACTCTAGGTGCCTAGTCACCTAGAAGGGCAGTAGGGCACCTAGTTGATGTAAGTCAAGGTGTTTGGCTGAGGCACCCAGCCAAGGGTGCCTTGTTGCCTAGGCAACACTTTGGTGAGCGCCGCCTTGAAAACTATAAAACTGTTACATTCATAATACTCCTAGGTGTCAAACTGTTAGACACTGTTAGGCTGATAAGAATCCTAGTAGGACTCAAACTGAACTACCATTACCTTATTTCAACTTAAAGAAGACTCAGTAACTCTAATCCTACTTATGCAATGAGTGTGGTCTGGCTTCTAAAAAGAGATAAGGCTAGAGTTTCAACCTGCAAGTCTATTTACTCATTTTCAACATTAAGTAATGTGGTTGCAGAATACTTCCTACCAAAAGGTGAAGTTCATTTATATTTTGTGACTTCTTGCGAGGCCTTCTTTTTAGTGGCAATTTATCCCTAGAAGTTATGTTTTAAAACATATTTTTTTTTTGATCAGTCTGAGAGATCTAAAATTGATTTTACTACTATTACCATGATTTTCCTTTCAGGAACTACAATCTCAAAGTTATGTGTTGGTGAAGTTAACAACGATAAGAGTTTAATTCCTCTAGCTATCTTATACCGTTCCTTGGTATGTTTCAGCTGCAAGAGCAATAATAACGTACTACTTGATTTTTCTCTGTGTAAAATATTCCATGATGTCATGTTCCCTAATTTGCATTGCATTTTCGTGTTTGTGCTGACAGTCCATTATGATGATTGTTATATGGCTAAAAGAATCTTATTTATTCCCCCACAAATGTTGAATGCTTATGGTAGTGCAATTGAGATCGATTTTGTTACATTGCTTATTATCATCTAAAGCTGTCTTTGTTGGTAATTTATAATATTTTATCATATATTCAAGGTATGGATGGTATGTTTATACTGCTACACTACTGGAGAAAAGAACCTCCAAATCCTCTAATTTGACATGTAGCTGTATTTGGGACATAAAAAAGTGCAACTGCATTTGTGTATGGCTTTGCTGAGTATGAAAAGACACAAGTTCAACTCTATTACCTGCTCCATTTCATTCTGGCCTATGCTAAAACAGAATTTTCATAATTTTGGTGTCAATAGGATTTTTTATTAGTATTAAAGAATGATTAATGTACAGGGGCTACGTTCCATACACCTCATTGTTGGCCATCCTGCTTAGCTCCCTCTGTACTTATTTATAAATCGTGTGTTATATTTTTACAATTAGTTTTCGATTGTAACTTTCCATCCGAATAGATGCCTTGGGGCCCCTTGTCTAGCCAAAGCTTCAGCCATACTATTGGCATTTCTCGCTGTCCAAAAAAATGTTGCATTCAGACATTCAGTTCAGTTCCCAGCCTTTTAACTTCCCTCATCAGATATCTACTTTTCCATGTTCCGAGTTTGTTGTTGATATTTGGTAAACCAGTCAACTAGTACCATAGAATCTCTTTCAGCCACAATGTTATTGTAGTTGATGTTTTGGCGAAATCTTAATCCTTGTGATGCTGTCAATAATTGTGCCTTGTTGAGTCCTCGCATCCAAGAGGACCTGAATAAAGAGCCATTATAGTGCCATGTCTGCTTTTAAAAACAGAACACCCATCAAAATGAGAGGATATGTCGGTAGTGTCTGTGGGCTATTTTGCTCATGTTATCATAGTTGAGGATTCTGCAATTGTTTGCCCTCCTTATGATATAATCATTGGAGAAACAAGCAATGCTAGACATGGTTTCCTCCAATTTGTCACCCTTGCCAAAGTAGTCTCTGTCAATGATCCTTAGTCTCGTGCTGATAAAAAGCTGCTTCCTTAGTCTGGTTCTTTTAATTCTTGAATTTCTTTCCTCCTATACTGTCTAAAGATTGGCTGCCGTACTGGTGCTCCACATTAATTTTTTCCCTTGGAGAGAAAAAGGAAGACCAAACGAGGATAGCCACCTTTTTCAGGGGAAGACACAATCTTTATTAGTTGCACCCTTACTTCAGTAAGATGTCGTAATTGGTTGGAATTGGAATTGGTTGGATCATTAGTGAAAGATCACTTTTCCTTGCCAACATAGTTGTCAAGGCGCCTAGGCAATTTTGGGCGACACTAGGACACCTAGGCAACACCTAGGTGATAAGAACTTTATAATATATAACTAATATTTGGCCAGTACCGTAGTTTTATTTTTCAATTAGCATGCATATTAATCGAAAAAATAGCAAATCATCATATCTAAAAGATTAAAATCTTTTAAATATATTAATTTCATTACTTAAATGATGATATTTGATAAAATCTATGCTTATAATTTTGTCAATTTACTATCTCTCTATGTTTAGAATTTCATAGAAAGATGCTGTAGAGAACACTGATGTGGGCCCCACAGCTGTGGTCCCCAATGTGTTCGTAGGACCGTATGTGCAATTATTTGTTTCAGTCATGTTAGTGTTAGTTGGTGGTTGGCTTGTTATTTCAGTTTGTTATTTGCTTTATTTGTCATGTAAGTATGAAGGGCACTTCTGTCCTTTCCTCTATGTACTGAACATAACTTATAAATACTAAGAGAGTGGCGGCGGCAGATCAATGGGAGAATCTGTCCCTCCTTTCAAACCTTTGTGTTCTCCTGTTCTCCTCTCTTTTCTTCTTTTCCTTACTTTTCTTCTACCTTTTCTAATCTGAAATCCATTAGGATTCAAGGCTGATTGTAGTCTTGATCRCYTAYTTGRTATCAGAGCCTATCTAGGGTTTCTCATGTGAGTCTAGTCCAGCCGACCACATGAGAACTATCTAGGGCTGGAAGTTTATAAAGAAGTGTTCATTGGCTGATTCTTGGAGGTTACCAGAAGAGTTTAGYAGCTGTTCGAARACTTGGCACGGCTTGCAGAGTGTTGGTAATCAGGAAGAATCAGAGAAGGCTAGGGTTCAGGCAACATTGGAAGGTAGCGAACAGAATTCTCTGGGTAAGTCTTATTTATTTTCTAGAGATTGCTACCAGTCAAGATAGTTTTTAGGGTTTTCTCTCAGAGGTGATCTATTCTAGGGTTTGACATTAACCCTACGGCAAGACCTAACTGTTGGGCTGAACTCTTTTATCTTCTTGGAAAGTGTTCATTTTAAGGGTTTTCTCTCAGAGGTGATAAGTTTTTAGGGTTTCACATTGACCCTACGGCAAGACCTAACTGTGGACCCCTTGGAAAGTGCGGCTGAGCACTTATTTCAGACCTACGATTAAAACCCTAATTCTGTTCCAGCATCTCAGATTGCTCTCTAAGCTGGTTTCAGACCTGTCTCTTGGTTCCGAGCTCTTTTAGGGGGTGAAAACTTGTACGGACTGCTTGGTACTGTGATTGCCGATTGGTTTCAGATCAGATTTACACTGGTTTCATGCATATACTGTGATTGCCGATTGGTTTCAGATCAGACCTGCACTAGTTTCATGCATATACCGTGATTGCAGATTGGTTTCAGATCAGACCTGCATTGATTCCATACTGATTTCTGATTGTGATCGACTGTTCAAGTGCTGTTTTCTGTTATAGTAACCCTAATAGTTCGTAATTACTGATTCTTGACCTAGAATGGAGTTTAAAAATCAGGGAGAAGGTAGTTTTGGGAACAACAGTTATGGTAGTGTATCTGAAATTGGGTTTCAGATTACAACTGTGAGATTTGACGGGTCAAACTACTTGGAATGGGCCCAATCAGCCATGATGGCTATTGGGGGWAGGGGAAAACTAGGTTATCTCTTGGGAGATGTGAAAGAACCTTCCAAGGAGGATCCAATGTATACCAAGTGGGTTCAAGARAACTACTTGGTTAKGACATKGCTGTGTAACTCTATGCAGCCACATATCAGCCAAAATTACTTGTGGGCAAAGACAGCCAAGGAGATATGGGATGTTATGAAAGAAACCTATTCCCAACCCCTTAACGTTGCTAGAGCCTATGAACTGAAGTGTAAAGTGAATAGTCTTAAACAAGGAGAGAAACTAGTTTCTGTCTACTTCTCTACCTTGAAATCCCTGTGGCATGAAATTGATCATCTAGAGACTCTTGAGTGGGAAAGTCCCAAAGATGCACGGACTTATAGAAAGCAAGTCGAGACGAATAGGGTATTTGAATTTCTGGCTGGCCTGAATTCAGATTATGACATTGTGAGGCAATAGATATTGGCTAGAGATAGTGTGACCCTCTCTCAAGCATACTTCCTGGTGCATAGTGAAGGGACCAGGAGGAAAGTTATGATGCAACCTCAGCCCTTTTCCCCAGCCCTGACAGCTGTTAAACCTAAGTCAGGGGGTGATACAGAAAGGGACAAGATGAAGGAAGACAAACGGGATCTGGTATGTGAGCATTGCAAGAAACCCAAGCATACAAAAGATACTTGTTGGAAGTTGTACCCTCATTTGGTCCCAGCAAAACTGAGAAATAAGAAGGGTAATGCTCATGTGGCTGTGAATACTGATTCAGCATCCTCAGCAGGCACAAAAGGCACACTCCTAGAGACCTTAGTCGCGATTCGGGCTGCCCTAATACAGTTGGAAAAGGAAGTTGGGAGTTCAGCTYAGCCATCTTAGTCACCATCAGTCCCTGCCACGTCTGCATTTGCACATTCAGGTACTCGAGCCTCAGCCTACCATGTTTCAGCTCCAGGTAATACTGAACACTGTTGGGTAATAGATTCAGGTGCATCCGACCATATGACTAGCTTGCCATCCTTGTTCACTACATATCACTTATCCTCTGGTAGAGATAGAGTATCCATTGTTGATGGCTCTCTTGTTCCCATTTCTGGCAAGGGTGACATCAAGTTATCTGATACCATCTCTTTATCTTCTATTTTGCATGTTCCTAAGCTTGATACTAACCTGCTTTCAGTCAGTAGTATTACCGAACATATGAACTGTTCAGTAACCTTTTTCCCTGACCGATGTGTTTTTCTAGGAGTTGGAGACGAGGAAGATGATTGGGACTGGCCGTTAGACGAATGGGAGCTATCTGCTCGGAGAGAGTTCTCGTTGGGAAGAGCCAGTGGATAAGAAGTCCTTTGTTTCTCAGTTTGTGAGTCCGGTTATGCTTTGGCATAATCGATTAGGTCATTTATCTTTTCGGTCTTTGAAGAGTCTGTTTCCTGCTTTATTTGAGTCTGTTGAGATGTCGAAGTTGAGATGTAAGAGTTGTGAGCTTGCCAAACATTGTCGAACATCTTATTCTTTGAGTAATAAAAGGAGTAATAATTCTTTTGATATTGTGCATACTGATGTTTGGGGGCCATATCACATCCTTTCTATGGGTGGGTACAGATATTTTCTGTTGTTTGTTGATGACTATACATGGTTTTCTTGGGTCTATCTAATGCATTCTTGAGATAGGTTCCCGCTCTGACCCAAAACTTTCATTAGATGATTCTAACCCAGTTTGGGGCCAAAATCAAAATTCTCAGATCCGATAATGCAAAGGAACTTTGCTAAGCCATTAACTTCTTACCTCCTTAATCATGGGGTTATTCACCAGAGCACTTGTCCTCATACACCACAGCAGAATGGGGTTGCCGAAAGGAAGAATAGGCACATCTTGGAGGTGGCTAGATGTTTACCTCCAATGTACCTATTCGCTTCTGGGG